CTACAGTTTTCGGGAAGAGTTTTAGAGGTTTGTGTTTTTACACATTTGAAATCATCAATCAATCATTGTTAGACCACCATTAGAAACCTGGAAGCACTGGACGGCCATTTCGTCTTGTATGGGACTCATCAGTGGCAGTGCGCATCCACGAATCCTGCACCTCGCAGGATTCGAACCCGGCACCTTCGATGTTGTGCGCGAACGTCTAACCATCGGACCACTCTGCCGGCATCCAACGGTGTTAATGTCTAACTCTGAATGATCTAGGGATTTTGAGCGACCTCACCTATTTGTCTTTGGTAGTTACTGCCTGCCTACACCCGACAGGGTTAAACTCCATCGGATGCGCACTGCTGATGAGTCCCATAACAGGACGAGTGCTTCTAGGTTTCTAATAGTGGTCCAAGAATGATTGATTGATAATTTTAAATATGTTAGCTACAGCTGTCGAATTAGAATACACGATACGATCATAGTGTCTTGACGACTAGAAGGCAAGTGAAAGAAACTAGTCAATAATCTGATTGTTTTATAAAGTGAGCGTATTTTACTAGTAGACTGTGTCTTTCCTAAATTTACCTTCTATTTCATCTGGTCTTGTTAATTTTTAACAATTCGGTAAGTTTTAAAACCTCTGGTAAACTTAACGTTTACCAGTTAAATGTGCTATCTCTATTTAATGAAGCTTGAATTTTAGAAAAAATAATCAAGAATGAAATGAATTTAGAAAATAGGCATTTTTTTTGGAAAATTTTTCCATGTTTCATCAGTGTCATGTTGTGATAGGTAGAATTGTCCACAGACTACAATCCGAATTACCTGCACACATATTAGAAACAAATAAAATTATACTATATTTATTGCAGTATTATTTAAATTAAATCATAAATCATGTATTCCGAAAAAGTGGTTCAGTAAAGTTATATATTTTATTAGCTGGAAATTGAGTAGATACTACTAATATAACAGACATTGTTTATGTATAAAGGAATGACCACAGACAAATATTGAAAAAACACATGAATTTATAGACAGCTATTTTGTTTTTCAGTATTTTCATCAGTCTTTTAAGTATTATATGAAAAGCTGGAGAATTTAGGACACTTGTTCAATTTTAACTGAATATCTTCATGATAGCGAGACTTTATCCTGATAGTGATGATCTCGTTGGGAATGAAATCCCGTCAACGTATGAATCATGAAAAGCGTTAAATTATTTTTTAAGGGATTTTCATGTTTACCTGTAGTGAATATTCGGTCTATGATAATTAACACATATCATGCTATCAACTTTCAGGTATACTCGATTGTATAGTGGCCAAAATATAAAAAACCGATCAAAATTCAATTTTGAGAGCATAAACCATTACAGAGAGAAAGTTATTTTATTCTGCAAAATTGTAAACAAAAGAGTGTATTTAGATCAAATCAGTTGAAATTAATGATTGGGACGACTTTGTAGAACTGCGGTCGGCCAAGCTGAGCAAATAACTTTAGAATCCATTGATTCGTGTGTTGTTGCTAATGGGTGTTGCTTGTACCATTTGAAAGACTTCAGCCCTAATTATTTTTGCAAGCCACAAATAACACTTGTTGACTAGTGGAAATGATATATTCATAGAATATTGATAGACAGTTTGAAAGACATTGCTTACATACTTACTTACGCCTGTTACTTTCAATAGGCCGCCCACCAGTTTTCTCCAACTAACTCTGTCCTGGGCTTCCCTCTCCAGTTCTGTCCAATGTTTGTTCATTCCTCTCATATCTTTCACTATTTCTCGGCATAATTGAAAGACATTGGTCAGCATCTAATTAACTTGTTATTTGGAGTCTGCTTGATGAACAAAAGTTTTTCAGAAGTCAAGGGTATGCTAGACTAAAAAGATTTATTATTTATTACTGAAACATTTCAATTGTTCGTCAGTCAATATAATATCTGACGTCAGATATGATTGAATATTTATCATCAAATCAAGCTATGTTTTTGAATTCACATGTATATTTTCTATTCATTTACATATTTCTCTCTCTCTCTGTCTCAAATTCACCGATTCTTCCCAATATTTTCACTAACTATACAATAACTCAACAAGTTTCAACAATTCGCACATGATAAATAACTATCTTTCCTGAATTTTTTTGCCAACTATAAAATGTTGTCGCATTTTTCATTAGGCGAATTCATATATATGTGTGTGTTTGTTTGTTATCTTGTGAGGCGTTCACATGTTTTCTTGAATTGTTGCATGTGATTTTATGAAATGGGGTAAATTTCGAATAATTAATAGGTGTGTATATATTGGAAACAATCATGTTCGACTGAAAATCTTTTTTTTCATTGTGAATAAGAGTAGACTGAAATGAACGATGAGAATGACCATAGATGCAATGAAGTGAATACATAAAGTTTGATTAAGGTACAGTTATTATTATTATTTTTATATTATTTTCTGTCTCAAATTATTCACACAACGAAAATTTAGTTCGTTACCTGTACACAACGAGAGAGAGAGAGAGAGAGGTAGAGAGTGTGATAGATAGCCTGTGGCATTATGTGAGTTTTATTAAGCGATGGAAAAATTCATTAAATTCATTGATTACAAGTGGTGCGTTGTTGAAATTATTAATGAATGAATTTTTCGGTAAAATATAAATCTTTTATTTCGACAAATAATACAATTAAATTACGTTTTTTTACAAATTGAATTATCCAAAACTGTGATTCAAGTAAACTGATATATATTAGCGCTTGTAACTTAATTATGACGTTCAATTAAACTCGTTGTATAATTATTTGTGTTAATGATTACAAGTTTTGATAAGTTGTTTTTATACAACTATTCAGTTTAATTTTATTTGATTATAATTCAATGTGACAGCGTCAGCAAACATGTGGTAATGTAAGAATAAGCATTTATTTCTATCTTACTAGAAAAATAATAGATATTAAGCTGATTTATATGAGTTGATATCATGTTACTTATAGTGTAATCAGAAAGAAATACTGTAAGAAATAGTTATTACCATATTGAAAGTAATTTATTTGACAGACAAAGGAGAAAAGTGTCATTTTTGGGATGACCGAGGGTCCTGGGTATAGAATCCTGCTAGGTGCAGAAGTCATGGATGCACACTGCCACCGATGAGTTCCATACCAGGACGAAACGGCGGTCCAGTGCTTCCAGGTTTCGAATGGTAGTCTAACATTAATCAACTGATGATTTCAACGTGTACGAAATTTTTATTCGTCCACTAAACTTTGTATAAGTTTTTTCATTGTCATAACCAATTTTTTTCATGACTTATCATTCTCACCCAAAAGAACTTCAACTATGAATAACGTTCAATGATAAAATTCTATTTAGGAGTCACTATTTTTTTCTGTAAATAAAAGAAAAGAGCAACACATCAATAAAGAAATTTTTATTAGAATTTCACCATATTCAAATAAAGAATCTTTCTGTACAGAATTATTTTTCAGTGAATTTAACATTTCGACTGTTTGGTCGTTACAACCAGTACTCTACTTTTCACTAATTTTCTTACAACAACAGAAAAAAACACAAGTTATTTTAAATATGTATATAAATAAGTAGAATTAAAATCATCACGAAGACACAACGAAGTTGAAGAAAAGAAGAAGAGATAACTGGCCTGATTTGTAATAGCATAGCATAGCATAGCATAACTGAGTGTGTGTGTATGATACTGGTTGGACTTGTTAACAAGAAAGCTTAAATGAGCTTAAATCAGTAATAATAGTAGTAGTAAATATAGCCATTATTATTATTTTTAAACGTATAAATTACAGCAGAAAACAGTAATGTTCATAATAATACAAGAAAAGAAATACTTATTTTTTTTTCTCCCTAGAAAGCTAAAAGAAGTAAGCATTCAAGACAACAGAATCACTATATATTTTACTTGTATTAATAAAAGAGCAGTTGGTTTGACAATAAAAACTGTAAAAAAAAAATTCAAACAGCTGTTCTCTTGAAATATGGTATATACAAACAAAATTAAAGCTGTAGTTTGTTGAGGACAAAAACGCCAGAAAAAAATAAAAGTAAAAGACTGAATTCATAAGAAAATTTTCATAGAGAAAAAAAAACAATTGAGAAATAAAATACACGAAATAAACATTGCATTTTTTCCTTTACAATACAATATCAACCGAAATGGTACTAGCTTTTTGTTATCCACGAGATAAAAAAATGCAACAAAGCATATGTGAGTGTAGTTAGTGTTATTCCGAGAGTAATTCTCTGCATCACTTAAATCCAACACATTATGTTCCATTGTTTAAGTAAAGTCAAATCTGTATGTAGTGACGGTTTCTAGAAACAATGCAAACAATCTAGGCTTACTGATGCAACAATCCTCTCTCTCTCTCTCTCTCTCTAGAAAAAAGCGAAACGGAAAACATTTTCATCAATAGAACAACCCTGTATACAATTTGAAGAATTCAATCTTTATGTAAAATCAACCGATTTTAATGTAAATTGAACATTGATCAGTTCTATTCACAATAAAACAACCGTAAAAAAGAAACCGGATGTTTTTTTGTTTTAAACAAAAAGAAAGTCAAGATCTAAGTTTTTGAAATTAAAATACTTAAAAAACACACAACAGTAAGTCAATAAACTAACCGATCATTTTTGCCGATATTACACATTTGTACACACACAAAATATCCAGGTAAAATTCATTACCTAATAAATATTAAGAATATTCTAGAGTTTTTTTTGGCAAAACCTATTTGAAATGATATCCTAATGAATGAAAAGAAACGCAAAGGTTTTTTTGTTCAATTCGGGTGATACTTGTGGCGAAACCAAAAAATCAATTATCGTTTTAAAAAAAAATTTTTTAAAAAGAAACAACTCAAAATAAAAATATTATGTTCAACTTTAGAATAATTACAGTAATCATAATGAATGAATGGAATGATGATGACATCACTACTTCACCTAAATTCCAATCCTAGTCATATCACTTGAAAACAATAAATAAATCAAAAGACAAACGGAGAATATTCGAGAAAAAGATGGTTGACCTTGAGTTGATCAGAAAACATTTATTTCTTGTTTTTATTAATATTGTTGTTCAATGTACAATGTTTTCACAATTGTTTTATTTTTCAATACACTTGAGCATAAGTTGAACTTGAATGTTCTTCCGGTGGACTTAATGAATTACAAAATGATGAAGAGGATGATGTTATAGGATTTGGTAATTGATGTTCATTTATTAACAACATTGGTCTTTGAATAAATCCATGTTTATTATTATCTATGGAAAATGTTGAATTCAATATTGAATTCATTGGTTGTTGTTGATAATGATTCGAATAATTAATTTGTGAATGTAAATTATCCATTATTGTAGTGGATTTTTTGTTAGAATTTATTAGATTTTCTAATTCAAATTTTTTATTATCGATTTGTTCATTTTCTTGTTCATCATCACTACTACAAAAATTTGAGTAGTATATATTTTCTGCATTTACAGAAGATTTATTACTGTTATTATTATTAATAGGATTATTATTTAATTGTAAACATTGTATGTTTGTGTTAGGATTATTTGTATTTAACAAATGTGGCATTGGTTTGTGTTCATTCGACATTGGAACAGATGAATGTGGTGTATGGTTTAAAGATGACAGGGATGAAGATGAGTATTCCACTGTCAATTCATGCTGTTCACCATGATTATTCTCATTATCATGAATCTCATGATGATGATGATGATGATGATTAGAACTTGGCGCTGGAGGAGGTGGTGATTTTGGCGGTGGTGGTATTAATGATGATTTATCTTCATAAGAAAAACAATTCCCTTCAGTTGTTTCCGATTTGCGCGTGAATGCATTTGGATGATGCTGCGATGATGATGTTGTGGTTGTTACAATTGTCATTGTCTTGACATCTGTCTGTTTCAAACAGCTATTATTACTTATCGGTAAATTACCTGAATTCCCGCTCAATTCATTTGTTAACAAATCTATAGTTGGTTTTGTTTTCCATCTAGAAGATTTTTTCTCATCATCATTTGTTAAACTACTCGATGTGGCTGAATTCGATTTACTTCGAATATCTTGCCTCTGTAACAATTCCCCGAGATCATATTGTCCTGAAGGTGAAAATTGTGATAGAATGTCATTTTCTACCTTTTTAGTATTATTATTTGTTCGACAGCAAGCATTTGTTGTATAATTCATGCATGACTTGGAATAATTCATAGGTACATTGATTGGATTACTAGTAGATACAGATGGTGTTAAACTATCATCAAATTCATAAGTTAATTCACTTGGTGTACCAATATGACGATCATCATCATAAATCCCATTGTTTAGTGTATAAAATGTTGTGGAAGTACAATTTTTCCTTTGTGCATTATTCACATTCATGGCTGTGTGAATCAATGACGCAGTTGCATAAGGTGCCACTGTCAATGATGTCACTGGTCCATTACAATCATGTATTGTTGAATGTGACGATATCATTGATTGATTGGTATGTGGTAAACTATTGATTGGAGCGACGGGTGCTATCAGAGGTAAACCGGTTAGACCAATTCGTGTCACCGGAGAAAAGTATTGATCTCTATGATGCTGCTGTTGATGATGATGATATCCATTTGGAAGATTGGCGCCAATTTGAGATGGTGGAATTAAATGAGATTGATAGCTTAAATAGGATGCATGTGAATGACATTCATTCAGAGCGGGATTAATTAATCCATTTGGCGCATGGAAAACAACATGATTTGTTTGTGGAATATGTGAAACATGATGTGGATGCTGATTATGATGTGTAATGGTATTTGTGATATTTTCTGTGGTAGCATACAGTCCAGTATTATTGATTTCATTCGATAGACAAGGTGAACGAGATAATTCTGCAACAATTGGATTGAATGAATTAAATTGAGGAGTATCAGCGGCATTTTTACTAGTATGATTATATTCATCATTGACAATATTTGTCACATTATTATTATTATTAAATAAACTTTGATTTTGTGTAGTTGATGGATATTGACGCCATCCTGTGTATTTACCTTTATCAACAGATTCTAAACAATTCTCACCATCTGTATTCGGTGTTTCCGATCGTAATAACGGTTCCATTTGAACATGATCTTTTTGTGACAAATGTGAAGTTTTGGCAATTTTATTTTCAGTCATTGAATTATTTATACTTGTACAAATAGTGTTAGATCCATCAGCTAACGAGCCACATTGTGAATGATTATTATTATTAGCTATCAATACAGTACCAGCAGATTTTCTAAACTTATAACGTTGATGATGTCTACAACAGAATGTTATCAGCGTTACAGTAGCACACCATACTAACAAACTACATATGATTGTTACAATAAGCCATGGTTGATTGATAATAAACTCATCACCACCGGGTTTATTCACTTCTTTCCGATCCAAATTCATAAATTGCAACAGTTGACCAGTGCTGACATCGAAACCCCAACCAACACCTAAACCTTTTTGACGTAATTCAGGTTTCAATTGGATTGGTGTACTGCGTACACCAATACCTTTACAAGTCACTGCAGCCATTTGAACAAAATATGTAGTTTTACCAGTTAATCCTTTAATTAATGTTTTTTGTTCAATATAAGATAAATTGAAATTTTGATGATTACTAGCATCTTCATCATAAACATAAATAATATAACCAATCAATAATCCATTCCAATTCATTACAGATGGTGGATCCCATGAAAGTTCTATGGTACTATTCGATATCCATACAGCAAATATTCTTTCTGGTGGAGAACTTGGAAATGTTTCATAAGTTAACACTTGGAGTGTATTACTTTCTCGACTTTCATGCTTTTCAATTAATGGTTTGGATGTGTAGGCTTTAATTTTGACTTCATAACATCGAAATGCTTCAAGATCACGAAGAAGACTAGTTTCTTGTATTGTTAAGAGATTATGTATGGCATTATATTTGCCGTCTTTTTGATATTGAACTTTGACATCACTCATTAACCATGTGTTGGATGTTGAATTCATGAATTCTTGTTGTTGTTGTTGTTGTTGAGTATTCTTGAAATTTTGTTGTAAAGTTTGCATTGTTTCAAGACGATACAAAGAATGTGAATCTATGGAAGTGGTCGATTTAATGCTACAATAAATTCTTTCTCCATTCTTTGCCAATGATTCAGTCATATCTGAGTAAGTACCCGAAGGATTGTTTGTAATGCATTTCATTAGGGGGATTTCTCTATAATAAACAGAATAACCGGTTATCATTGATAGTATATGTGGAGCTTCTGTAATGGACCAGCTTACTCTTACTCTTTTCGGCGATAGTGGATATAAGTGTAACAATTGTAATTCAACATCTTTAAAAGATTCTAAAGTTTCTCTATCCGATAAATGATTTATTTGATGGTTTACAGCTGGTTCTTTTAAAGTTAAAACTGGACCAAGAGGAGCACTAGCCCAACCTACTGTTCCTTGATCCCAGCGGGGTCTAATTAAAAAATAATAAACAGTATCTGGTTGTAATCCTCCTAACTGTACAGTGTTTGCATGCCAATTTTTTTCTACCACTATCCATCCATCAGTTGGTCGATCAGGTCTGTAAAGTTCTACCCAATAGGTAATCTGATGAGAACTCATTGGTATACCTTGGGTGAATTCTTGTGGATGGAGTGAAGGAAACGATGGATCCCAGACCAATATGACAGTTGATGACGTTACATTAGTAGCTCTTAGATTTTCTGGAGGAGGAAGAGTACTTTGGTCACCTAGAGATTGAGTTATTAGTGAGATATCAGGTACAATGTCTAAGAAGGAGGTCCAGTTTGATTGTAAAGTAAGTGACGCTAAACTCCCATCTATGTAAGTTTTGAGATCTGCTTTTGCAAAACAAGTATAGTTCCCGGAATCTTCCGTTCGCACATTTGATATCTGAAGGCTACCTCGAGGAAGTAAAGTGTAACGTCGATCATACGGAAGGTTGGAGATGTCTATATTTTTTGTTACACCATCTTGCGTAGACCTATGCCATCCAATAGACCAGTCAGATAGATCTGAGTAAGGAAATTTTGATGCTAACGATCCAGGAAAGTCTCTAATTAATCCTAGTTCACAATTTAAGGTGACCAATTCACCGACAGTTCGTGTCTGGTTTGCAGGTGGAAGTCCTATTATAGGAGCTAGCCAATGAAAATCAGACGAATAAAAATGTCTTGGTTGGTTTTCCGAAGGTGAATATGTATCTTTCGATGAATCCACCTTTTTCTTGGACAGGTTAATGACATGCAATGTAGCACTTGTATGGATTGTATCGATTGACGAATGTGCAGTGCATTGATATTTACCAGAATCTTTTTGTCTAACATCTCGAACTTCTAAACTTCCTTCAGGTGTTAGATAATGTTTACCATTATGAAATCCATTTATTGTTTGATCACCGGGAAAAATAGGTGTTTTATCTGGTAGCTCCCAGTAAATTGCTGGCATCGGGTGCCCAGCAGCTATACAATGAAATATTGCAGTTTCTCCTTCGTTAACCGTCAGATCATCTGGTGTGACAGAAAATGCTGGTGGTGTATCCACTGTAACTGTTGCGTCAGCTTCAATACCACCAGGAGCAGTGCAAATATATGTGCCAGCATCTGAAATTCGAACATTTTTGATAAGTAAATAACTTTCAGTTAATTCAGCTCGATTCGGATCTATTGGTTCTTCGCCAGGGCCTCGTTTCCATTTAACAACATGATTACCTTCAACTCGGCATTTCAACTTCACGTCATGCCCTTTTTTGACTCTTATATCAACTGGAGTTTCCAAGAATTGAGTACGTGGCTTCACCATCAGATAGGCTGAAGGAGAAACTTGTTCACCAGCTATATTCGCTGCTACACATGTATATGTTCCACTGTCTTTGATGCTGACAGGATTGATTTTCAAACTTCCATCAATTAATATTTCATTATTATTATTCGACTCTAATTCATTGATCACAGAGGTATTATTTCTAGGTTTGACTCCATTTTGAGCAATAAGTAAATGATTATTTTTCAACCAGTAAACTTTAACTTCAGGTAATCCTGTTGGAGGAGTACATTCCAGTACAACTTTATCCCCTTCATGAACTGTTTTATCTATTGGTATTTGTTGAAATCTCGAACTAATATAAACTGAACCACCATGTACTGGAGGTTGACTTATTGTCCATCCAGCGGAATTTGAAGCATTACAATAAAATGAATATAACTTGCCTTTTTCAGGATTTGAAATTAAAAGTTTACCATAATGTTGATTAACATGTATACCAGAAGTTGTTCCACTACTGGCCGCTTCATCAATTACTTGTTTACCCGTAGATGCATCATACCATACAATGGTAGGTTTTGGATAACCACTAGCTTGACATGTGAATTCAAGTATACTGTCTGTTGAAAATACATCAGTAGGTGAATGTGTTATTATAGGTTTTGTAAAATTCACTTTATGATTTGGTTCATAATTGTATGCAGTTAATCCTATACTGAATTGAATAATTAGAACTAGATATTGTTTTATTATTATGGTGATCATTGTTTGAAATTAAATGTGAACATTAATAATTTCGGTAGTTTTCATGAGATTTATTGTATACCATTAGTGCATTGATATTTGAAGTATGTTTTTAAACTATGTCGAATTCCAGTATCTGAATTAAAATTTCAGAAAAAAAGTAGAAAGAATAAGAAAAAAATTTATAAAATGAATGAGATTATATAATTTAGTAAAACATTTTCAATAGGAAGTAGCATTTGTCATAAAATGAATGATTTTTCCGGTCTCCCTCAATGTACGAATATTCCATGTACCTAAATAAATAGTTGCTCTGGTTGTTCGAATGGACAACGGCCTCATGGCTTTCATGTGGTGTAATAACTCTTCTAAATTAAGACCTAGCAACTCCTTGGGCAATGTTTATGTTGGTTTGAATAGTTTGTTCTAGTTAGCGTTTTCTTAGCAGGTTGGTGTTCTATAGGGTGGATTTGATAACTCCATGCCAAACCCTGCTATTTTACTCGGGCTGGGGACCGACAGTAACCCCAGAAATGCTCAAGGTGGAGTATAGGATATGGAAAGAATAGATAGCAGTTGGGTACAACTGGAAAGGAAGTTTCGGGACAGAGGTGGTTGGAAAATGTAGCTCGGCGGCCTCTGATCGATTAAGGCTAACAGGCGTAAGTAAATATGCTTTACCTACTAGTAAACTTTTCGAGTTGAATCGCTGTTTTGCTAGACGCTATCGTTTACATTGAGATATTTAAATTAGTAAAGCTTAGAACGATTACTACTGTATGCTATGTCAACTTTACAGTGTGATCGTCAATATTCATGCATTTTTTAAAACTTATTCTGAACAATTTACCGTACAACAGATTTTATCTATACTAAGAATTAATTTATTATATGTCTAACCTTTATATATTCCATGATAATGTTAATAGTGATCATTACTTAGTTTGTCGAACTAAACATTTAAGTTATTGAAATTCCAAACGGTACATTTAATTCAGACATAAATTTAACTGTCATGTCTTCCATTTACTCAACGTCCAATTTCTGTCAAACTATTCTTCCAAAACTTTCACGAACTTTTATACCAGACTCAGCTTTACACTTGACTATGATTCAACTAGCAATTTCACATTCTAACTCAACCTCATACTTTCTGGTTTGATTTGGTGTATGATAAAAACTAACTTCGTATTTTCTTTGGTTCAGATAGTGTAAATTGATTCAGAGTATCATGTCAGTGATTTAATTACTGACATTAAATCAAACTGTAATATTCAACAAAAGATATTCAACTCGGTTATATGTATATATAATGAAACACATGTCATCGCAAGTTACCGGAAAACCAAATATTTGTAAATATATCCTAGTGAACTGTTGTCCTTTAACAATATAATTCCTAATTATTATTTCTAAAAAAGTTCTACTTATCATTTACTACGGGCAAAACTCAGAGCCATAGAGACCTTGAACGATATGGCTCAAAATCATTTGCACTGGCCCAGGTGCATCAGTTGTTTGTGTTCTCTGAAATTCTAACCTTCTGAATTCCTCATCATCTCTATCTATCTCTGTCTAAAGTAATCTCACTGAACTATACTTTTTGAATAATATCTTCAATCCCCAATATTCTCCTCTACCGTTTATTCTTCTACTATCTCTACCACTATGGGATATGAACTGACAATTTCGTCTCTGTGGTATGACAACCTGAACTTATGTACTTACGTACGAAGTTCTACACTGTAACTAACTGAATGACTGACAAAACTCAATAAGTAAAGTGATATTTTGCGAAGAAGGAGAAAAGATCAACTATCAAATAACACAGACTACTTTATTTTCGAGATTTGTTCGAAGCTTTTTTGTTTTAGTTGAAATTGAACGTTAACATTTTTCATTTACTCAGTACTAACGCAGAGAAGATTGTAACATTTAAATAATTGTCTTCTATTCTCTTTTCATAACTAAAAAGTTATAAGTAACACACTCAGGAGAAGAAAATATCTTTAGTTATCTTGCTGAATGCTTTCTTAATTAGTTTAAATAATCATGTATCTCACACACAGACACACACACACACACACAAAGACAGAAATATTCAAATTTCACACAAAAACCGTTATGAAAGTTTCAAATGATCTGATATACGAGAGAGAGAGAGAGAGCGAGAAACAGAAAACGTACAAGTAACGTTTTCATATGCATATATATATATGATACTAACTAATTTATCATTGGGAAGTTGAACAAAAAAAAATTCACTGTACAAAATTTTATTTTTCACAATTGACTAAAATTAATGAACAGTTGTTCAGTTGAAATATTGATTCGTTTCAAATAAAAAAATATCCTTTCAAGTATAGTCAATTGAAAATGAAAGCATTCGAGAGAATTTTCTAGTAAGTGGAACATGGAATTAGAGAAGATATGATGATGGGATATTGTAAACTCAAGGATAAATATTTTTTTTGCCTAATCTTAACACTGGTTTACAAGGTGAATCAGAAACAATCTCGACTTTTACAAATCAATCCTGTGGGACAATCATATAGATTCCAAAGACTCTGGTAGATTAAATTATAGAGTAAATAAGATTGATAAAAGACTATTGCTTATGTCTGATTTATGTTTTGTAGGTTGGAAGAAAGCTAGCGGTGGCCAAGAGAAAACATGGCAGAAATCTATGAAGTCACTGACAGGTGGACTAAGTCATGTTCGGCAGATGTAGGCTACCTGGTTAGGGTCCGTGAGACGATGCTAAGTAATAAGATAAACTTTTTAATCAAAACCATTTTTCAGAACACCATATCAGAAGACATAAGAATATCCTTCAATGTTTCTTTATAATGTTTTGAAGGTTGTCTTGATGTCCTGTCTCAATTATGTGTTTTGCTATCGATGAACAAGGTTTTCTGTTTTCCACGTTTATTGGGTCATCTTAAGTTAACTGATTTTGAAGCCACCTAGGTTAATGTTCCGTAGTCTTTAATTGCAAAGTCCGATTACTCCTTCCTGTATATATGTGTCCACATAAATATGTAAATTAATAAATGTGATATGTGATGGATGAGATGTAATCATTCGAGCAACGTCTTGACTTATGTGGAATGATTACTTTTATTTAATTGACCTTTTATTAATCTTCATATGAACAGTCTTAATAAGTATATATGTGACCAGATTGTTTGAAATGTATCTCGCAAATATATCAAATTTTTCAGATAAATTACATCTTCTAACTGTCCAATCAAAATTTATAAAAGGAACTAACTCTTTTAAATTTCTGAGAAGAAAAACCTAAATAAATCATTTCTGATAGTATACCCAAAAGTAATAGCAAACATTATCGTTATTGAATTAGTGAGTGATTAGTGGAACTCAGTAGTCGAATAAATAACTTTATGTATGATATTTCATTCGACGGATTGAGTGTTCAAACGTTAATGCGAACACTGAGGTCAGGATGCAGACATACAAACTTATGAGTTCTTAACATGATAGAGAGGAAAATATTGATTACAATAATAATCACTTTACTCAGTAAGATAAAAAATGTTAATTTAAATATACAGTTGGTTCGAGTCTTGATCTCATCAAAAACTTTAAAGGGACAATGATCCAGTGGTGAGCTTTCAAGCAGTAAGTGAACTAATAACGTCTGCGCAAATGACTGATATCCGTAGCTTGCAATCTTTGATCGTGACTATAAACCAAGTACATGAATGTTTCCTTTGTAACATTAAGTGATTCTTTTCAGATAACAGTATTTGATGGAGTTGACAATGAATATCGTTGGGTTTTAAAGAATATTATTGTATTTCTATGCTAAATAATCAAGAAAAATTCAATAGCCCATACAAAACAAAAACTTCAATTCATGAGTAGGTTAATCAAATCTTAATTCGTTCAATAAAGGTATTATTAAAGAGATCCACAATCAAAACCATCGTCTAATCATGGTTCCCATTGTAATTCAACCTTAAGAACATAAACCATAATTTTTTTGTGATATCGTTGAGAATCACTGTAGTAAATATTGTAAATTCTTCTGAAAAAAGACAGTGGATGATGGTCGCTCACTAAAGTGGATAGATTCCTGCATGTGAGCATCTACGATGCTTACAATTGATGAATCCCTTCGTTGAACGAAGTGGCCGTCAAGTTATTCCGGCTTTCTAATAATGGTCTAACGTTGATAGATTTAAGATTTCAATAAAACGTCATTTTTCGAACGATAAGATCAGCATCATGCTATCTTTTTCCTGCCTCTGATTGTTGAAGTGAAAATAATCACTATGAATGAAACTACCTGAGTACAATTTAACCATTTAGAACATTTAGTGCAATTGATTAATTTTATGTAATGAGAAGACAAAAGTTATCTAGTTAGTCATTTAACTCTTGGAAGATGACGTTTGAACAAGTACATCTATATTCATCCATTGAGATAGTTATTGATAAATTTTGACTTTTAACTAGGCATTGTTTGAAATGAACTTCAACTGCCTCCTCACTTCATCATCAGTGAGTATCATTCTTATGTAAGAAAAAAAAACCCAGTTCAGTCATTAATTAACTAGCATGAACAAAATTTCCAAAACTTGTTTTTTTCAGTCAACTCTTTTTTCAAAATAATAAAACATTTTTGATATTTACGAAACAGTTGTTGAACAAAATAAAAAGGCAAGACGAGCTAGTCAATAATTAAATTATGTTTATCTATTGTAAGCAGTGTGGAGGCCACAATACAAAAAACAAAGAAAGATTTAACTAGTCATATTAGAATGTTTTTTGGCAATACAAGCATCAGTACAGTTTGATTGATGTTCTTATCAGTAGTTCGAAATTCCCCTACGAATTACTTGAAACTAAATTATTTTGTCTGGTTTTTCTTTCTTTTTTTTGCTGTAATAATTCTTTTGATGAATTTTTCAGTTGAAGTTACAATTCAAATCCAAAATTCACAATGATTATAGTATTATTGAGTGCCAATATAAAGCTTTCTTATATCAAGTTTT